TTTTTTAGTTAATACCGTGTTTATCAGGACTTTAGTTTCTTCCCACATCAGCAGCATGCCACCTCACTGGAATCTAGGAAGGAGCTAATGTATACTGAAACCAAATTTGATGCTTAGAAAATCCTTGAGCTGTTGAAAGGCACATCTGTGTTGTTTGGCAGGTGAGTTGAATCTCAAAGAATTTGTGCAAATCTCTGGTTTAGTCGGCTAAACTGGTTTCACCCCTGAACAACCCTGGGGTGAGGGAATCCTCTATTTTTCCTTGATAACCATAACAATGCCAAAGAAATAACTTCCAATGCTAAATCTCAGTGGTTTAGGTCTCAAAAGTGGAAAGGCTCAGAATATATTTCAGGACAGTAAATGTCTTCATGTCAAATTTATTATAGATAAATTAGTACTTTTCATATTGCAAGAAAACTACAGTTTTTTGTAAAGGCCAAGTCATTGTTAATTAAGATGTTACTTTGAGTAATTTGGAGACGTAACTTTCTAACTGTATTCACTTTTATATTTAAATTAAGAATGGTTTTTTATGAATAGTTAAATAAAAATTTCAGTGAACTGAATCCTAAAGAAAATAAAGAAGTATTTATCAGTTGAAAGGAACTCTGTAAATGGGTTTGCAGATCAACTGCAAAGGTTACTTGGGACTCTAGAATCTTAAAGTGAAACAGGTCATTTATACATTACTTCTTTTTAAAAAATCTATTTGGTCTATTTTCCTTTTCTGGACATTCTTATGTTGGATTATGTGGTTTCTTCTGACTAAACTAGTTTTGAAAAGCTTAAGATGTAAGACATTCTAAAGTAAATGCTTGATTCCTTACATAATATTCTTTAGGTATTAAAGAAAGTTAGCATTTTTCATCCTTTGGTCAGGCACTTGTGGGCTCTAAATGTAACTCCCTGCAGTTAATATGCCAGGGAAGAGAAGTTTGGGGCTGTCAAACCTCACAGAACAGACAGAGAATAAAAGAAAATTAATCAAGTCCACAGGCATGACGACCCTAGTCTGTTTCAGCTGGCAAAAGAACTAATAGTGCTGCCACCCAGGTCATAATTTATGGGTTGTTTGTGGTATTTCCAACCCTTTTAAGTTGAAGCTGTGTGTTACCATCTCTACAGTAAAAGAATATTTCTTTTCTCAAAGTTTTCAACCAACAGATGAATATTCTTTTTCTCTATAACACACACCATCTGGTTTGCTTAATTGACTGTTTATACACATATACATGTGTCTCAACTGATCAGTGCTGTGGTTTCCAACCTGGCTGTACCTTAGAAGCTTTGGAAAAATCACTACCAGAGCCACCTCCAGAGATCCTGGCTTAAACGGTCTGGTGATGCAGCAGAGAGAGGGTCTTTCTTGGAGGTTCAAGTTAGAATTCAGAATTTGTTTCCTCCGGAAGCTATGTTGCAACGGTGGGTTTGTGTATATTTTAAGTACAATAGGTAAAACTACATTATCTGTTAAATTTGGGGGGAATGGTCTGAAACACCGAATCAGTCTTCACAGTTCTTTTCGTAAAACAATGTACCTTTGGTTCCAAACAATGGAATTTACAACCAATCTGTTGATAAATTAGGAGCTGTGTGTCTTCAAGGTCACAACACTAGACTTTTTTGTGTCAAAAGTAAGTCAGGGTTTTGTCTTGCAAAAAAGTGAGTCAACAATTTTAGTGAGAAACTATCATGAGGAAGACACAAGCAAACAAAGACCCTCAAACAAGACCAGGAAATAAAGTATAAAACCAACATTTGTGCAAATTTTAACTTTAGGAAACTCCATAGGAATGTCCTGGTTCACGACTTCTTGTGTTGTCTGAATAGTAAATTGGATTAGAAATAAGCATATCGTTCACAAAGAAATATGGCACAGAAATAATAGTGGAAATATGCTGGAGGACAAGAAACCAAGACAATAAAAGCACTTTAAAAAGGCAAATCATACAAAAGAATAGAGGAGGGCTTCCCTGGTGGCGCAGTGGTTGAGGGTCCGCCTGCCGATGCAGGGGACACGGGTTCGTGCCCCGGTCTGGGAGGATCCCACATGCCGCGGAGTGGCTGGGCCCGTGAGCCATGGCTGCTGAGCTTGCGCGTCTGGAGCCTGTGCTCCGCAACGGGAGAGGCCACAACAGTGAGAGGCCGGCGTACAGCAAAAAAAAAAAAGAATAGAGGACACTTGTTGTCAATACGCAAAGGTGACTGACTTGGATAGAAGGGAAGATGAGAAGGATGAGGTTAGCTAGGTGCTTCCCAAACTAGTGTTAAGCTTGACCCCCCCATGAACCCAACATGACACAACAGGACAAACTGGGACCAAGAGGATCACAGTAGTGGAACTATGTCTGCATCCCACTAAGCAAATGGGTCTTCACCCGTATTCTCATTCACACAAGCCGTGAGATGGCCATGCATATACAAACACACTTCCCAAGAGCTGCTGCATGGCCCCAAAGTAGGACTTACCCTGTGTCGTCTCAGTGCAAATCATGGCAGTTGGATGGATGTTAAAGACAGCTCAATAGAATTTGGGCTCAATAGAAACAAAAACTTGCTAAAAGGCTGTCAGTACAAAACAGAACCAGAACACACACCTTGCCATGCACTGAATCCGAAGTCCAGAAGGTGAGAGCATGAACTGAATATTATCTCTAGAAATAGGATGATTGACCTCCTAGAGTAATGGAAATAAAAATAAAAATAAACAAATGGGACCTAATGAAACTTAAAATGTTTTGCAAAGCAAAGGAAACTACAAAGACGAAAAGACAACCCTCAGAATGGGAGGAAATATTTGCAAATGAATCAATGGACAAAGGATTAATCTCCAAAATATATAAACAGCTCATGCAGCTCAATATTAAAAAACAAACAACCCAATCAAAAAATGGGATGAAGACCTAAATAGACATTTCTCCAAAGAAGACACACAGATGGCCAAGAAGCACATCAAAAGCTGCTCAACATCTCTAATTATTAGAGAACTGCAAATCAAAACTACAATGAGGTATCACCTCACACCAGTCAGAATGGCTGTCATCAGAAAATCTACAAACAAATGCTGGAGAGGGCGTGGAGAAAAGGGAACCCTCTTGCACTGTTGGTGGGAATGTCAATTGATACAGCCACTATGGAGAACAGTATGGAGGTTCCTTAAAAAACTAAAAATAGAATTACCATATGACCCAGCAATCCTACTACCATAATTCAAAAGACACATGCACCCCAATGTTCATTGCAGCACTATTTATAATAGCCAGGTCATGGAAGCAACCTAAATGCCCTTCAACAGACAAATGGATAAAGATGTGGTACATATATACAATGGACTATTACTCTGCCATAAAAAGGAATGAAATTGGGTCATTTGTAGAGACGTGGATGGATCTAGAGACTGTCATACAGAGTGAAGTAAGTCAGAAAGAGAAAAACAAATATCATATATTAACGCATATATGTGGAACCTAGAAAAATGGTACAGATGAACTGGTTTGCAGGGCAGAAATAGAGACACAGATGTAGAGAACAAACGTATGGACACCAAGGGGGGAAAGTGGCAGGGGGCGGGTGGTGGGGGGTGGTGGTGGGATGAATTGGGAGGTTAGGATTGACATGTATACACTAATATGTATAAAATAGATAACTAATAAGAACCTGCTGTATAAAAAATAAAATAAAATTCAAAAGTTCTAAAAGAAATAGGATGATTTGTTGAGTGTGGAGTATATCCATACAATCTCCAATGGTCCTCCCAAATCTATTTTGATGTTTCTGTAATTCAGCCTCCTCTCTTCTTCACAGATGTTGAATCACCTCTAATTTCATTCTGTACCAATTTTGCTTTGTTTTGTTTTGCTTTTTTAAGTGACAAAGGGGAATTGAGAAACTCTTCACAATGAACCAAAGTGTCCCTGCAATTTGGGGGTTAGCAACTAGCGTTATTATAGCAGATCTGATTTAGAGGTTTTAGACCTTGGTTACTTTGGGGAAGAAGTAAATCCTGAAAGTTCATACCACGAACTGCAAGACCTTTAAACGGACAAATAATAAACCCATAATAAAGTCAGAGTCTTTTTTCTCTCATTTATGCTCAACTGTGTGAACTCTGGAGCCCAAAGTACACCCTGATCTTTAAGTTTGCTTTGAAACAGCAATGAAGGAATGAGCTTAATCCTCAATTAGGTGCAAAAGGTGGAGGTGGTAAAAAAAAGTTAAACAAGATACAGAGCAGCTGTGACAGCCCATCGGCTCATAGAAGAGACTCAGAACTGGCAGCTGCAAGGGACCCACAGGAGAAACGTCTTAAATGCACGTCCTACGCGTAGTACGTTGGTATCAGCAGGCCAGCATTGTGGCTGGAACAGTCACGACCAGGACTGTAAAGATAAGCCCCGACGCAGCCTGTGCTCTCCATAGGCTTATGTTCTGAATTTAGGTTTGTGCCACGCACCTCTTGACAGTGACCTTCCTCATACCGCAGGGTCAAAAGGAACTGCAGAATTTTAGCGCAAGGCCGACTTCAAGCCCAGAACCGCAGTGATCCCTCCTTGACAAGCCGAACTGGGTCACTCAAAAGAGCGTGGCACTAAATCTTTAGGGTTCAGCGGGCCAAGGGCTGCGTTAGCAGTTGGTGTCCTTTCCGGGCACACAAAAGCCTTTTTCTGCTCTGCTTTTACAAGGTATCCTAGAAGCCAAGCTATTGCCAATGGGTAGGGCTGGGGAGGGGAGGGGAGGGGAGAGGGCCCGAACGCAGCAAGTTGTCCACCTCCGGCTGCCAGTCTGTCCAACAGGAGAGCCGATCTCGGCTGTGCCTCGGCCCCGGGGATGGCGGCGCGGGGTGGGGGGGCGCACAGGGACGCGCCAGCGTGCGTTCCTCCAGACCGCTGGCGCCAGGCCAGCTGGCTCGAGAGAACCCAGGTGGCGACCGCAAAAGCTCCCCGCGAACCTTCTCTGCCCCAGAGGGCGCGCCCCCTAGCGCCGGGCCTGCAGGGGGCGGGGCGGGACGGGGTGGGCGGGGACGGAGGGGGCGGAGCCGCGCGGCTGGGCGCGCGGGGGTCGCGGCTCCGAGCAGGTGCGCGAGAGCGAGCGCTGCTACAGCGGGCGGTATGGCGAGCACGGCGTCGGAGATCATTGCCTTCATGGTTTCCATCTCCGGCTGGGTGCTGGTGTCCTCCACGCTGCCCACCGACTACTGGAAGGTGTCCACCATCGACGGCACGGTCATCACCACGGCCACCTATTGGGCCAACCTTTGGAAGATGTGCGTTACCGACTCCACGGGCGTCTCCAACTGCAAGGACTTCCCCTCCATGCTGGCTCTAGACGGTCTGCATCCCGTCGCCCCCCGCCCCTGCCCCTCGCTCCTCCACGGCCTGTCGGCGGGACGCCCGCTGACCCCACGACCCCCGGCGGGACCCCCGGGCCGGACTCCTCCAAAGCCCGGCCCCGCTTTCCCCCTCAGTGCCTGAAGGAGCCGGGGAGAGTCCCCGGTGCCCGTGGCCCTCCTTCCCCGGACGTCAGTCCCGCGGGGGGCGCCTGTCCGATCCCGGAACCCCGGGGCGGGAGAGAGGGGCACGCAGACAGGCCTGGGTGGGGTAGGTGACTCTCAGGCGACGGGGATGGAGGGAAGCAGCTATGTTGTCTCGAGAGTTGAGGACAGGGCAGTGGGACCCCCCTCTCTTGGGGACTGTTAGGACACGGAGTCACGAGAGGGGGCTTGTTTTCTCCAGCCAGCACTACCCAGAAGGGCTGGATTCTGATTAAAATGGACTTGTCAGAGCGAAATCTGCTTGCTCTGAACTCCCTTTAGCCATTTCGTTAGTTCTTTTAAAAGTGTGTGTGGGGGGAAAGGAAACGTTGCAGGAGCACCCGCTCCAAACCCCCCGCCCCGCATCTACAAATGAGTCTGCTGGGCTTTAACTCTGCCTCTAAACGTTAGGAACATAAGTAGCCCTAGCCTGTGCCGCAGAAAGTAGAGAATTCTGGCCAGCAGGAATCTTGTGCGGGAGACTGACAAGTTCTGTGTCGCGCCTCCCAAGCCCATTCTCAGCGTCTCCCTCAGCGTTGTTCTTTAGTAAATTGTTTTCTACGTAGTTCTTGTTAGCGACGCTCTATACTCTATTGTATTAGAACAACAGGTGTTCACAAGGAAAACTGGCTCTTTTTAGTCTCAACAGGTGTTTACGAAGAAAACTGGCTCTTTTTAGTTTCAGACTGGCTCTTTTTAGTTGACAGTGGATGTCAACCCGGTCACACTGATTGCTCAAGTCCTAGGCTCCTTTCTTCCAGGATTTTACAGCACATGACTAGATGGATCCCGACAGAAACTTGAGAGTCATTTACATTAGTTCTCAATTTGAGGTGTTTTCTTTTTCTTTTATTACTGCTCTGCAAGCTTTTATTTGCATAACTGAGTAAATAAAGGACAAGATTTAATCCCCCTAAGATGGTGCTTGCCACGAAAAGCAAACTGCTGCTCAATGGAGGTATTTGATGGAAACTCCGTATAAGGGAATACGTGTCTGGTTTTAGATGAGTGACACCTGGGTCTGTGTCCTGGTGTGTGTACAATAAGTAGCTGGTACGCTCTTGATTCTCTAGAATTATGGTTGAATTTCCTGTGCGCTGCAGAGCACACATCCAGGTAGATGTTTGAACAGGCAGGCTCTTGTTTCTGTGATTTACATTCAGGAATATGGGATTGACAGTTACTGTCCTAAACACATTCTTCTGTTGTAACTGTACTGTCACTGACGTAGCCTGCCAGATAGGTACGCTTCCTTCTACAGGACAGCTGGGGGACAAGGCAGGGGATGGAGAGATGAAAACTCCATGAAGGTTATTGGGTGAGAATACTGTGCACCTTATGTGTCTGAGCTGAGAATGGACGTCATGGTCTCAATATCTGGGGACAGGTGGGGTAATGAGGAGGAAGGAGAGCATAGCCTTCAACCATCCAGCCCTAGAGAGGAGGCGTGACATTTGTATACAACCCAGCTCGCAAAATGGCCTTCCGCGTGTGCTCGTGTGTCTAGAAAATGACTTTAAGAGACGTAAATGACTTCACCTCTTGTTCTGCATTGTTTTAAAATTAATAACGTAGCTTTACGAGTCAGTACATATAGAAGTAACTGTTTTTTAACAACTGCATGGTATTCATTACTCTGGACAAACTGGTTTATTTAACGACTTACCCATTGTTGGACATTGGACCCTTCCTAGCTTTTCACTGTTCTTAGCACTTTACTGAAAACCTTTCTATTTGCCTCTTTGTGCGTATGTGTGTATCTGTAGTGTAGATACTGAGGAATAGTATTGTCGGAGCAGTAGAATATTCATTTTATTATTCAGTTTAAATCGTCCAATTACATTCCACCAACAGTGTATGAGAATACCTGTTTCTCCACATTCTCACCACCAAGTTTTTCATCCAGTTTAATGGGTGACATCCTATCATGTTATTATTTTATTCCCTAATCACTGTGATTTTGACCACCTTAGCATGTATTTATTGACCCTTTTTTTGTGTGTGTGACTTGCCTGTCCATATCTTATGCCCATGGTTCTTTTGTTTCCTCTTGGTTTAAATGATTTGTTTTTTTTTTAACTCTGGATATCAGTCCTTGATTTATTATATATGTTGCAGTCTCGGCCCATTGCTTGTCTTTTAAATGTGTGATGTCTTTTCTCATACAGAACATTGAAATGTGTACTATAATCCCATTTATCAGTCTCTTCCTGCTGGCTTGGCCTTTTGTGGCTTAAGAAAGCATTGCCTATCACAAAGTTATAAACTTACTTTTCATCATCTCTCAGAATAATATTTGGGGGGAGTTCAACCACACAGCTACATTTTCATGTGGAGGTAAGTCAGTTCCCCCAAAGAGGAGGCCCCTCTGCTTGTTCACGCTCTGCCGTGTATTTTCTGGGCAGCCACATCTGCTGGTTGCTGGGCCTAAGGCAGGCCCTGCCTGCAGCATGCTGCATGTGGATTTCCTGGTTATTGCACTAGAAGTGGAGGGAGAAAGCCACGTTGCCAGGGGCTGTGGTGACCACAGGCCTGAGTAGGTCAGTCCTCTCCTTAAACCAAGCAGAAAAATCCAAGCAGGGAGAGAGAAGGCTCACAGCTCTCCCCGTCTAGTCTTAAGTGGAAGAACATGCCTCTTGGACACAGATGATGGAGTCATTATTCTGAATCTCCTATGTGAGGTCAGAGCTCTGATTGCTCATCATCAGGGGGTATCACTGTTACCCCAGTTCTCCCTACAAGGAAAGAGCTAAATGTGCAGGTTTAATGTTATGCCATGTTAAGATTCCAACTGTAATGTCTGCTTAGAATCAATCTTTGTGTTATGGAAGGGAAGCTTTGATGTGTTTCTTACCATTCACTAGACGCTTGGTTCATATTCCTCCTGTGAAGGAAGTAATGTTATCCTTGGGTTTTACAGATGAGAAAACAGGCTTGGAGAGATTAGGTAATACAGTTGAGGATACACAGCAGGTAAAGAGAAGAACCAGAGGTGAAATTCAGGGTTCGTGTCTGCCCCTCATACCACCCTTCTCTCCAAGGATTTGCAAAAAGTACGCAAAGCTACTAGCATGAGAAAGCACGTCCTTTTTTTCTTCCTTCAATCAGCAGCGACCAGGTGTACTGCTAGGGAATTGTCTCCACCAAGTGGATATTTTCATTTTTGCTAGCTGGAAATGGAAAATAAGGTACATTTGGAAAACCATTTTAACTTTTAAGGGACGCCTTGAAGTTTTCCTCCAACAGAATTCATTAATTTAAAGTCACAGTAATTTACTAATTGAAAAGCTCACCGTTGAATGAGCTGGTGATTTCTGTTTATTGCTAACCCATATTCCTTTCAAAGCACCACTTGAACTGCAGCTGAGCATTTTGAGCCAGGTTGTTGTTTTTTTTAGTATATGCCATCTATTTTTGTTAGTGGGAATGTTTGCCATTTCTTCCAAAGGAGTTAACTATAAATTATACTTCAGAGAACTTCTGAGCAAATATGTTCATGCCTCAGCACTTTAATGTGTTAATTAGCTATTAACGGTGTCAGTAAATTAGACCTGTCAAAAATAATGGCCTCCTTGACTAGGTTTTTACCACCACTTCACTTGAGGGTGTTACTTATAAGTTTTGACCTCCGGAACTGTTAAAAAAGCAAGGTTGTAGACGTCTGCCTTGCAAAAGATAAACTCTGAGAGAGTTTGTGGGAAGTCACCCAAGGCTTGAGTCTGTGGGTGTTTTAAGGACTGGTAACCCCTAATTTACAGACCTCAGGCTTACCAACAACTGGATTCCATCTATGGCTGACAGTGGAGTTTATCCCCAGGAACTCCAAACCCTTCTTTTATGCATGCGATGAGTTAGCAATTTATTGCTACTGTTCCCACACCAGAGAGAGTTACCTTCCCCACCAAATCAGGGTTCTGGTTGGTTCTGAGGGGGGACCTGACCTCATCAGAACCTGCTCTCTATCTCTCCTCTTGTGCTGAGAGGGCAGAGCTGATCCTGCTGTAGGTACCTGGGCTGAGACCGGAGAACTGAGTGAGACACTTGGGGGAAAAAATGGTATGAGTAGTGGTTAAAGTTTAAAGCCTACTGTTATTTTTCCAGTCACATTAAGGGTTGAATTCATCAGCCTGGGATTCTGACCACTGTGTACCATTTGGGAAAATGTGTTTTATGTTCTTAGTGATCAGACCATAGACTTAACCTTTTGCAAGGCTCGTGTGTTTTCTGTACATAAAGCCTGTAAGATTCCTAAAATAATGCAAATTATGGTGCATGGTAAGGTTTTCTAGAATAGTTTTTTAAATATAGGATAGAGGTTATATCACACACACACTTTGTTGTCTGTTTAGGATTGCATAAGAGTTAGCTAAAACACCTCAAAACCACAGGTTAAAACAAATCTCAAAAAATCATGAAACCACACTGTCCCAGTAGCTCTGGTGGTAAATGATGAGTCAGTTGTGGTTGTCCTGGAGGACTGTCTTTAATCTTGCAAGGAACTAACAGGCTTCCTCCCCCTATGCTTCTATTGCTCCCTGGTTTCTGGTTGGGGGACTTGAGGGTTGAAGTTTAAAATAGAGCTGGGTCACTGTTCAGCGGCAGAGACACAGATAGCCCTGCAGCACTACTATAGCTACCAAAATAAGCCTCCATTATCCTGTTTTGCTAAAGATAAGTTTCTTTTGCTGTTTTTGACGGCCTTACCATCAGGGAAATTATTTTCTGTCTGGAAGTAGTTCACCCTATAAAATAGAAGATCATTGTCATTGCATTCTGCATTTGTAGGGGCCTAAATCTGTTCAGTTAATTAGAGCATCTTCTGGGTATTCTTCAAAACGGATCCTAGGGGTAGGACTGAAACTTAAAATTTTATTCTTTCCCTGAGAAACATACTGGAGGCCACCTTCCCCCATTATTCCCTGAATATATGATTATCGTAGCCTTAGAATTATTATTTATCATTGACTTTGCCTGAACACAATAATAAATGACTTGGTGTATCTTGGCATTTATGAGTTTTTTCATATTAAAAAGTTTAATGCCAAATGTAAACCTGAGAGATATGTACGTTCATTGGCTTAACAAATGAACACACCAGTATGTGCCATCATTATTTCAGATTGAAATACGGCACTGTTTCAGTCTGAAATGAAAATGACGGCATGTGGTAAAAACGTATTAGTTTAAATCCTGTTAACTTAAAATTTGTTAGTGTCTGGACAAAAGCCAGGCTGAAGTTTACCATCACCCTGGCTGTGCAAATAAAAATACGTGACTAAGAAAATGAATGGTGTAGGAGGAATGATCAAACAAACCAACAGAACAAGCTTTCAGGATACTTTGAAAGCATCCATTTATATGCAAAGAGTTAATTTCATAATTACAAAATATTCTTCTAGGAACCAACTAGTGCTTATTTAAACCCAATGTTATTATGTGTGCCCTGAAAATTTTTAAAAGGTCATGAAAATACATTTTGATTTAGACTTCTCATGGTTCATGATGACATTCCAGTCAGTCTCATTTATAATCTTTCACTAATATTAGAAGATGTGACTCTGTGGGAGCTCTGCTCGATTATAAAGATTACAACGTCAAAACCATTAAAACATCTGTTTTAAAGGTCTGATGTGCAAAGGAGTGACAGGGTTGAGATCGTGGCAGATGAGGTTTCCCAGGGTGAAAGGCAGTATTGCATGGGTTTTGTAGTCAGAGCTGGATGGAATCCATTTCAGCCCCTTACTAACTCGTCTCTGGCACATTATGTAACTTTTGTGTGCCTCAGTTTCTTCATCTGTGAATATGGGAATAATAACACTCAGAGATATATCCTGAGGATCATGCATATGGCAAACTGAAAAGTGTGTGACATAGAACAGGCACTCCATACAGATTTACTTGCTTTTCTTTCTTGCTTAACATATGTTTTAACCATTATGATTATTTTTTCGGAAAGCAGAACACTCATTCACGAGGACAGTGTAAAATGAGAGTTTCTTCCTGGAAAACCACATGTTTTATGTTAATGTAAATGACCTACTCTAATTGCAGGTTATATCCAGGCATGTAGAGGACTTATGATCGCCGCCGTCAGCCTGGGCTTTTTTGGTTCCATATTTGCCCTGTTTGGAATGAAATGTACCAAAGTCGGAGGCTCAGATAAAGCCAAAGCTAAAATTGCTTGTTTGGCTGGGATTGTATTCATACTGTCAGGTAAATAGTAGCTTTCTTCCAAACAAGGTGCTTCAGGATGTTAATGAAACACCAGTAATCATAGCCCTTTCCTTCTGATGCTCTTCAGGGCTGTGCTCCATGACCGGGTGTTCCCTGTATGCAAACAAAATCACAACAGAGTTCTTTGATCCCCTCTTCGTGGAGCAAAAGTAAGTACTCTTCTTAAGTCTGTATGCTTGTGGCTCACAGGAAATGGATATAAAATCATCTTCTAAATTAAGCTACATAAATTTCCTCCATGGCTCATGAAAGTGAGACATACTAATAAATGATGTTTGATGACATCATTCAAGAGCAAACGTTTTATATGCTACATTGGCAAAAGATGCATCGAATCACTGCATTAGGGTTACATAGTGTCTTGTCTCTAAATAGCTCAAGGCATAGGATTTAGAATGCTAAATGTCATCTACTGTACGAAGTCACGTAGAGGAAAAGTGCAAGAGAGGTGTAAGGTGGGGAGGAAAGAAGGATAAAGTATGACAGAAGAAAACTAAGAGCTTGCCTCGATTGTTGTCCATCCAAAATGATATTTGCCAGATGTTCTGGGCCAGCTTCAATCTCAGGCATTGAGATGAAAACTGAGACTGTGATCCTGAAGATTAGAAACGTTTAAGTGATATTGAATGAAATACTATTTTTCATTTTTAGTTAGCCTTTTACATTTGTTCTGTTGACCACAGCCTTAACACGTTCCACCTAATAAACCTTTGTAAAGAAATTGTACATGACTCAGGGTCTTTAAAAAATGGTGTAAGAGTGGCACAGACACCCAGATGTGACCGTCTCAGCTGCAGGTGAATGGTTTGGCACTTACAGACCAGTTTGTTTGTTGGTTTTTAATTATGGGCTGTTGCTTTTTATAGTTTCTCTAGGTTTATTTCTTTGCATTGGGAAAACCCAAGGAATACCAAATTAGAAATAATAATAGATCAAATATTTTGTCTTCCGTGAGAATATTCCCACAGACTTCTGTAGAAAGCCACATGTGTACTGCTATCATCCAGGCTGGGGATTCTCTTTCAGTCTTCAAATCAAATGTTATGGAATTTTAAAAGAGTAATTACTAAAATGGCTGATCAGGGTCCATTACTTTTTTCTGGTGGATTTAGGAATCTTTAGGAAATGATTTTTCTAGTACTGTCTTTAGTTTATGCATAAATAGTAAATGTATGTACAATGAAAATAATAGCTAACACATGTTGAGCCCCTACCATGTACCAAGCAGAGCATTGCAAATATTATTTTATTATTTTAGTCTTACAACATCCTTATGAAGTAGGTTCTCTCTGTACCCCCTTTTTTAAAATTGGGGAAAGAATTCGAGGAATATGTGCAAGGGAACTTGGACTAAGCTAATAGGCTGATTGAACTATGATTCAAACCAGGCAACCAAACTCTAGCACACTTAACTCTAAAATGCATGATATATAATATTCTACTATTTTGTAATTTTTGTGACAGTATGCCACATATATTTTTCATCAAAGAAGTTTCTTTTGTGCAGTAGTGTTTATTGTGAAATTTTATTAAATGGAAAACCAAAATGACTGCTTCAGACCCCAGTATGATGTTCACTCCCCTACCTATGTTAGAAAATGTGTTCTGATTTGTAAACTTTCTCCTGATTTTTGATAATGAGATTTGCACCGATGTGCATGGCACCAAACATTGAGGTGAAAACTAAGACTGTTCTCCTGAAGATTAGAACCATTTTAATGATATTTAAATGAAATATCAGTTATCATTTAAATATTATACTTAAATGACATTTTTATTTCAGGGTTTGATATCATAAATATACCACAAAATCATTTCTCACAGTTTATTTTATTAAAGACATTGCTGACTTTTCTGGATTACCTTTCGTACATCACTGTTCTGTCTTCCTGACAATCATTAATGATGTCTTTGTCAGACTCTTAAAAATCATTTTCATCTTTTCTCACAAGGCCGAGGCTAATATCTGTATCTGTATGCACAGTAACTTAAACCTTTCCTTTGTGCTCTGTGCTTGCTATATGCTCAGTCACCTCACTCGGTTTAGTACCACTGGAATTTCTTATTCTTTCAGATTTTCGTTAAACTCAGTTCAGTAATTATGGACTGTGAGAGGTTTTCCTCTTTTCTACATTCTTGGTGCTACTTTGAACTATTCCATTCCCACTGTGAGCTTCCCAGCATCCCTCTTTCTGTCTATGCCTACTCTTTCTCTCTCTCTGTTTTCACATCTGGAAAATCAGGATAATCATAGAGTTGCTGTGAGAGTTAAGAGAGTGTGTATATGTACCCTTAGAACTGATTAGAAAAGAGCAAAAGCCTTGTATTAATAACTGTATTGTGTTAGCTATTATTAAGGTTGCTTTTTAATTGTGTGTAGTAGTTAAGATGTACCTTATCTTTATGCATGTCTTTATTAGCTCTTTTCTGCAATGACTTAAAAATATAACACCTACAATTTGCCAATTTACCTTAGGTCATTAAAAACACAAGAGTGAGGGATTATGAAAAACACCATGGCTTACAAATTGGTAAATCACAGGTCCTTCACACCAAAAAATACAGACTTTATTAAAAAAAAAAAGAAAACCTGCATATTGAGAACATGTTTAGCTCCTTGAGATCAGAGCTCACTCACATTTCTATCCCAGCAGTGCCTGGCACAAAGAAAGACCATGACTTATGTACAAGGAATTATCAACGCCTGTTGAGAATTGTTAAATATGATCAGATGCTAATTACCCACAATGGTAGAAAAGAGGCATGAAGATGACATGTGACACCTACAGGAATTCACAAACTTTATTTAAATACAACTTCTATAAAAACCATCCAGTTGACTAACTTGCTGTCATCTGTTTTCCTTTTATCAACGCCTCTAATGGAGGAGAAGGAGATGGAAATTAGGAAGATTAATAAGCGGCAAATTGGGTATCAACACAAAGTAGACTGATTCCTTAGGTTTTCGGGTTTTTAAAAATATTTATTTATTTATTTGGTTGCACCGGGTCTTAGTTATGGCAGGCAGCCTCCTTAGTTGTGGCTCCAGGGCTCCTTAGTTGTGGCATGCAAACTCTTAGTTGTGGCATGCAAACTCTTATTTGCAGCATGTGGGATCTAGTTCCCTGACCAAGGTTGAACCCGTGTTCCCTACATTGGCAGCATGGAGTCTTACCCACTGCACCACCAGGGAAGTCCCTCCGTAGGTCTTACAAAATATCATAATTTTTAAAGTGAGATTTTGATTTTGGCATATTCTAGGGGATAGGGCTTCCTAGCTGGCATTTGCTAGAACTTAGTAAGTGGTGCCTCTGATGTAGTTTGTGCGTGAACACACAGAGGAATATGTTGGAGAATCACTGCCAAAGGCAGGGCCAGCCCTGGAAGAGTTGGGATAAGGGCACCGCTCTAGGGGGTTCTGACTATTTCTTTGGTGTCTTCATGGATCTGCATGAGGGTAAGTTCCTTGAGGTCAGAAAACATCTATTTCATCTCTTACTTGCCTAGCATGGTGCCCGGTGTGTGAAATCCTGATCTGTAGAACTAGTCCTTTCAGGATTAGCAGAAAAGCCTTCTGTTATCTCAGCAGACTGAGGAAGCCTCAGAGAGGATGGAGCTAGGAGGCAGGCTCACCCTCCTCTTCGCACCCTTATCATGCATTCATCTTTCTCCAGCAGCGTGGCTCCCTCCGGTCCTAGATGGCCTGGCTGTGGCATACGCATGTGTGTGTTTGGCCCTTAGGAAGGGCGATGAGGCACACCTGCTTGCCACAGGCTCTAGTTTAAATTTCTGGTGAGCAGATACTTGTCCCAAAATGCACTGCAAAACAGTTCAGGCCTCAGAACCTAGTTTTGTTGCTGTTTTTCTTAAGGATTCTCTAACATGTAAATTGAATCTTCTTTGTGGATTTCGAGGACATCCCTATATAAGACTCACCTTGGTTGCCTAAGTTACAAACACACAACTAAGCTCATCCACAGAGCTCCCACCACATTCCTACTATGTGCAGGGAACTCTGTAGGTGCTTTATTGACGAGGGAACAGAATGAGTGGCTTCTGGTGTATCGTTGGCATAAAGATTGTGGCAGTAGCGCTGCGAACAGTAGTAGGCTTTGTGTTCAGTGGCTAATTATTTCTGAAACCCTTCCTTTCCCACAGCTCATATGGGGAGATTTTTCTTCCTGCCTACAATCATTTGACAGAACTGCAATCTTTAAAGAGCTTCACCTGACTGTGGTTGTTTCTGCCATTTCTCCATTTTTTCCTTTTGTTTTACTTCCTTGCGTCCATTCAAATTGTGATTATGTTTTATGGCTCCAGGATGGGCTCCTGCAAAGCCTTTAAAACTATTTCTCAACTCTTCCCTTTGGGCTGTTTCAAACCAACTTCCTCCTTTTTATTAAAGCAAAACCTACTACATAAAAAAATCTATCCTCTTGCAAGCTTATGGTCACAAGCACTCCTTAGCGTGATTCACCGTATCATTGTGTTGAAATATAGTTACATATCCCCCCCATGGCTTTGTTGTCCAAACCACTAACTTCTGAGTGTCTTGCTTTGTTTTTTCTGAAATAGACTGTTCCGAAGAGTTGATTGGCTTAAAGAGTTGTTCTGCATAAAGAAACTTCTTTTCAAGTCATGCAAAGTTGGGGCACTGAACCAATTTCCTTAACTGAGGAAACAGGACAGCGTGATCTTAGATTTATTCGCTTTTAGTCAATGAGATTTATCATGAGTGTTTTGGCTCAGATATTCATATTTGGGTCTTTGTATTTTGAGAGCTTTTAAAACCATGGAGTTATTTATCTCTAGCACTCTTCATTCAGTTAGTTTCTACTTTAGAATCTAAGTTTTACTTTGGTAAAATCTTTTCATCATTGTGGTTACTTAGTAGTTAGAGAAGTAAACAGCTGTCTACTTCCCAATAGATTCCCTCATTCTTGTTATCTGTCAAGTTCAATGCACAAGAGACAATTCAAGAAGGACGTTTCTAGGTTACACACATTTTCCTGGGTGAAGCTGAAAGGAATATCGATCTCACTAGGTGACCTTGCCTAGATATTTAACTTCTCTCTTCTGTCCTTATTATAATTTAATGAATTATAGATGTCTGTGTACTTAAGCTTATTGCAATCATGAGGTTATTTGG